ACACTCTAAGTATGTTGACAAAGGTTCTTAGTTGTGCATGCCTAATTGGCCAGACTGTCCCCAAATTATAACCCATGCAACTCACGGTGACTTGCGCATATGACAAGTGACAAGTGATGTAAGCGTATGTAAAAATAAATTTGGGGTGGCCGTGCATCTGGCAGCACCATGCTACCTAGTATGCACTGCAGCATATAATAGTTGCTGCAAGATTGTGCTATACAGTACGACAGCATGACCATCTCAGCTTGACATGCTTCTCCCAGCCTCATTGTCTCAGCCAAATGTCAGTGTAAGTATCCTATTCTGACATACATCCATTGTGACATACAAGAGGTCTGTTCATAAGTTGGGGAGAGGCTGACTATTAACGGAGGCATAACGTGTAGTACTTTGAATGAGCACTAGATGGCCCCTGATCATGGTTTCTCTGGAGTAAGGAGGCTGTTAGGGTTCTGTGTAACTCAACTCTTTCACCTCCAGCTTCCTACATGCCAGGTACAGCAGCTGTGTCCACCTATGGGCCAAGTCACTCTCCCAATGCTACGTAAGATGATTGGCTCTAGATCATAGGGAAATAAGTATATGCAAGTACATCTTCAATGACTTGGAATGCTTATAAAATGAAAGTTTTTTATTATTATTATTAACACACCACAGCTGGTGATACTTCCTATACTGCTCCCATTCCTGTCACATCTGTGGGTAAGTAGTCTGATGAATCTAAAGAAAGTCTGGGGACAGTCTTTATGCTTTGCCTATTGTCACTACTGACATATGGAAATTGGACATAAGCACTTTCAGTTGAGGGGACTGAATGTTAGAATACTTTTCCTGTATTCTGCAATTGTAATACTTTCATGACTGAAAAATTTCTGCATTCCATAGCAGCATATTACACTTCCCAGACAGTGGTAGTAGTAGCAGTAGCAGTATTATAGTACCAAATACCTTCGATCTTTTCCTGTCTATGAACCCTGGTCTTCAGACTGGAATTGCCCCATTGTGGCTATGGTGGAGTCCTTGATTCAACTAGAGGGGTCATAGCTGTAACCAGATCTAAGTAGTAAAGGTCACTCGGCTTCAGTTTGAAAGGCCCTGGAGTGAGCCTTCAGCTCCCCTGGCTCTATATTTAGAGTTGGAGTATAAGGTTCTTCACAGAGCTTGCTGTGGCCTCTGAGATCAACCCTGACATTCATAGTGCTGACTTTGGACTCTAAAGGCCAGTTTGCTCTCAAATGGGCAAACCATGTACTCTACTTCCAGCTACTGTTTTGGTTATTCTGAAAGGAAAAAACTTTACACAGCCATGCTGCTGCTTTATACCAGCAAATATTTGATTTCAGCTGTAGCAAACTCAGTTCTGCATGTTAAGCTTTAAGCTGTTTGATGTTAATAGTTAAAAGTCATATTTTGAGGGTAATGCTTTTCCCAGAGGGTGGCATGGTGGTTCAGTGGCTAGCACTCCCTGCCTTACACATCCAAGGTTGGGTGTTTGATTTCTCCCTCAGTGTGTGTGGAGTTTGCCTGCTCCTTGTATCACACAAAATTCATCCAGTATTCCAGAGACATGCAATAGGTTAATTGATGTCTCTTAGTAGCCTATAGATTATTTTGGTCAATATCGAGATCATGATTATTTAATATGATTACCCATTCCTGGGCATCTTTCGAATGAGTAAGGATTGATACCCCGTTGTCCTGGGTAAAATTCTTGACTTTGTAAAACATGCATATATATATATAGACAATGAGACATAGCCTATTGAAGCCTATTGAAGTTGACCTGAATGCTTAAAATGGCCATGGGGTCTTACTGTAGGTGCTCCATACAAGTTAAATAACTCAGCAATAACTCCAATGCAATAACGAAACCTAAGCATGAATAGGGTTTTTATACAATAAACACTTAAAGTTATGTTATTGAAGACATCACGTAAAAGTCATATTACTGAAGATATCATGTAAAAGATCGTATTACTTCCTACAGTGATATATACTGTGTGTATATATATATATATATATATATATATATATATACACACACACACAGACCACGAGAACTGAGATTGGTCCACTTGGTTTTTTTTATAGGACCAAAGAAAACTTACACCCAGGTGTACTTATATTGTTGATTGGACCTGAAACTTTAGTTATATTTAACATTAAATATCTTATTTCTAAGTTATTTTTTGCGGGTTAATATTTAAACTTTATCAATATTCAGAGTTAGCAGCACCAAAGCTAAAGACATGACTACTCAAATAATGGAGATCTGCACTGATAAGCTGTCGTCCCCCCCACCACTAATTGTCAGTTAGTGAAAATACGTGGATATGTGGTGAATTAATCATGTTGGTTAATACATAAATAAATATCTCAGTCGTACAGTCTTTAAAAGTGACTTCATTTGCTCTGAATGAAAAGCCAACACACTGATTTCTCATTTCTGTCGTGCTGCCACTATTAGTGAAGACACCATCCGTGCCTCCCTGGTGTCGGCAGTGAGCAATCAGCTGTGCAGGGGAATAAAAGAGGAGGTGGATCGGGCCCAGGCTGAGCTGAAAAGGCCTAAAGAGGACTTGAAGAAAGGCCACCAGAAGCTGGAGGAAATGGTGTTCCACCTTGACCAAGAAATCACGAGGTTCATGTCTACCGTTGTCCTCTACCTTGATTATACTGATGTTTAACTGTGCATTTGCTGGGAAGCTTTTTTATTTCATGGCTTTGTCACAGTGTATCTTTTTCTAGTCTCTGTTAAACTGTCTGATGATGGCTTATTATTATTAGTGTATTATTTAAAGTCTTTCTAACATCTTAATGGTCATCCTATCAGTGTTAGATTCACATACATATATTCATATGTGTTTCATGCTGTGTTCTTGTGGACTATGGATGTGAGGCTATAAATAATTAAGGGATTTTTCACAGGGTATTCAAAAAACTGTGGAGCAAATCTAACAATGCAGTACTTGTAATGGATCATTGACTGTGTATGTGTGTGCATGAATATGAGTGCATCTCTGCACGCTTGCATGTGCAATCATTCTGAGGCAGATGGAGGTGGAAAAGAATATTGGCCTTCTGAAGCAGAAGGATGGGGGACTGACCACTGCCCTCGAGAAGATGGAAAGCCAATCAGAGTGCAGTGGCATCAACAACATTGTCGTGCCCACCACACCTCTCTACAAGCTGATCCTAAGCCTGTATGCTGAGGAGAACGCTATCGAGGACACCATCTTCTACCTGGGGGAGGCTCTGTGGCGTGAACTCATTGACTTGGAGGTCTTCCTCAAGCTAAGCTCCTGCCTATTTTTGTCACACTTTGTTCTGTCTCCCAGCTCCTGTTATCACTCTTTTGTGTCCTTGACTCTCTCCTGCTTCCCTTCTTCCTGTCTTCTAATAGTAACCCGGCAGTGCATATTTTCTTATCCTGAAGGTTTTGCTGGTTTTAATTTACATATTAATTAGCACCTGATTTACACCTGAAGTGCCAGGTGAGATGGCTGTTTAGAAAAATAATTACAATAAAGCAATTATAAGCCAAGGTTTTGAAAACCGGCACACTCTGTCCCTTGAGAACTGGAGATAAGTGAGCATTTTTTGTGTGCTGTTGGTGTTGTCTTTTTGCTTTTTCTGATAGATAATTTCCATGTCTAGTACAGCTTGACCCCTTGTTTTGTGGTGTAACTATCCATTGGCTAGCCAGCAACTTAATTTTAACTTGACTTAATTTAGAAGAGTTCATAGTTGTGGTTGGTGTAGGGGGAGCAGGTTAATTCGCTGTCTTTGTCTGCACGCCCCGTTTTCTGGTTTACTCTCTTTGCAGCATGTGCGGCTCTTATCCCGTAAACAGTTCCAACTGTGGGCACTGATGCAGAAAGCCAGGAAGAGCACTGGTTTCAGCAACCTCTTCTGAATCCCCCTCCCCTTCGCTGAACCTTTGTCTGATTAGCTGTCATCTGTTCTCTTGTTTCTGCCCTGCAGCTGCACGTCACTGTATTTTGTGACATGGAGCCAACCTTTAATCAATGGTGTAAAACAGATACTTTGAAGGAACTGTGCTCATAAGGGAAATCCTAAAGGACGTGCAGACGACCAATTAGAGAAGAAAGAATTAAAGATGAAGTTACTGAAACTCTCAGGACAGATAAGAGGGTCAGAATTTATTTAACTTCACTGCTTTTTATTTATTTAAAAAATTGCTGTCATAATTAAACTATAATTGCAAGATGTTTAGCATGTTACACCATATAAACCCTATGCAGTATAACAGATTTGCACATCATTTGATGCAACATTAAAGGACTGGAAAGGACCACGATTCTCTAGCTGGGGAGAGAACTGAGGAGTACTATGATGAGTGCCAAGACACGGAGTGGTCTCATTGCAGTGATGATTTTTATTATTTAATAGCACTTACATGTTCTTTGTAAACATGTATTGTGCTCTACTGTGTGCCTCAGATAGAATGTTTATTATAACTTAAATTGTTACTTCTTAGGGCCATTTCTGGATAGAAGAACTGAAGCTTAAAAAAGGGTTATGTACAGATTCCACAGTACAGTGTTTTAAGAGACCATTTTATCTCACGTTTCATAAAAAAGAAATCTTACATAAAATGAGATGTGTGTATGATGAGACAAATAATGTGTGGGGTGACCATTTTCCAAAATATATTTTTAATGCTTTGGGTTCTTAGTTTCTATATAAGGGAATTGTGTAGAGTTTCAAATCACAGTGAGAGAACTGTTAAGCTAGGCTGACAAGTGAATGGTCCTAGAATGGTGGGAAAGGATTATCAAATGTCGAAAAAAAATTAGATTTAATTTCTTACAGGGTGTGTTTTTTTCTCGCACATTAACTTCAAATGGGTTCATGGGTTGCCAGGAGTTAGTTAATATAATAAAGGAATAGGCTGGGTGCTCTCAGTGTGCATTTTAATGGGGAAGGTTTACTTGGAAGAACTGACAGGCACAATATAGAAGGATACCAAGAAATCTGATTTTCTGTGTTGTTTATTTGATGCTCAGGCATATACAAGGCAGCTATTCTGATTTCTGTAACATGTCAGTTTTGATCACAAAAATGATATATAAAACATTCGAATGAAAAGGAAAAGATTCCTATTTCAACAATTTACACAGATGTCCTGCCCCTTGACTTTCTGTGTCCATTATCTTGTGTACACATGTGATAAGTTAATGGACATAATGTAATTTTGATTAAAAACTTAAATTATAAAAAATATTTATTCAGATGTCAAATTGCTCTTTGTAAAATATGCATTCATGCAGTTCATATTGTGTACACAGAGACAGATTTAGTATACATTCAAGTTCTTAAGAATAATGTATGGATGCACAAAGCAACTCTGCCAGATATGATTTCATATGTTAATGACATTATAACTGAAGAGACCTGAAATGGGTGCTTCAAATTGTGGAGCGTTTGCCGTGCTTAGAGAACATTGCTATGGTCAGTGTTTAGTTTTCCTCTGGGACAGCAGGCAGGAGGGAAGAGGTGGCATTTTGACAAGGAAATGGGGGCAGGCAGAAATAACTGAGGAGCCAAGGGCTGTGGTTCATTGGTTTTGTGAGAGCCTCATAGAGTCAGCTCCTTCTGCACACTCCACAGGGTCTCTGAGCTCTTCACCAGCTGCTTCTCCTCCTCAGGCTGCAGGGTCATATGTACTATGTCTGTCAAGCCACTGTTGCCCAGCACACAGGGCACGCTGAGGAAAACCTCGTCCTTCACTCCGTACATGCCCTGAGGGAGGAAGAAGCCTGTTAGTGACTTCATCTGTGGTGAAGTAGCTTAAACTCTGTTTATCCGAGATTAAAGGATAGATAGTGGAGCCAAGTAAAGTCCTTGAATCCCAGCAGACTGAGCTTTTCAATCTTAAAAGCCATTTGCCTTTTTAAAGTTCTCATCAGGAGTTTATTGGTTAGCTGACATTAAATTCTTAGAGTTTCAATTTGTTTCTACAGGCATTGCATCAATCCTTCAATGAGGATAACTGGACCTCAGCTTTTATAAAAACAAACATATTAACCAATTGCGGATGAAAGCTCACCTGGACCAGTGTGGACACAGGGTGTACCTTGCGTAAGTTCTTCAGGATGGTCTCTACTAGGTCAGCCACAGACATACCAATAGCCCAGGAAGTGTAACCCTTCAGTTTAATAACTTCATAGGCACTATGAGGGGAAGCAAATCAATAATTAGCCCAGTGTGAAGAGTCCATATAGAATGCATATCAACATTTTTTTTTTTAAAAAAAGTACTTAAAAAAAAAACTTTTTCAGACATGTCACTGTAATTTTTTATGCAAATACCAAAACAATAATCACTTGAATGGGAGATAGACTCACCCATCAACAACCGTCTTATGGACTATCTTCCAGTCTTCCTTATCCTTTTCTGTTCCCATATCTGGATTGAGTTTTTGGAGGTTGACGCCAGCTACATTCACCCCACTCCATACAGCCACTGTGAACAGAACCATTCATTTGCCAATATGAAATGAACTATTCTGCATTTTATGGTCTTCTGTTTCAAATATGTTTCTTCTTGGACATTTACCCATGCCTTAGAAGTTAGCTTATTTTGTATCAATTTGAAGGGTTGTTAGGTGCGAGATCAGCAAAGAATAAACAAGAATTAAGTGGAATTTGCAAGGTTGAATGGGATTAGTGGACTTACCGCTGGAGTCTCCATGCTCTCCAATGATCCAACCATGGCAGCTGGAGGGGTGAAGGTTTAGCTTCTCACTCATCAGGAAGCGGAAGCGAGCGGAGTCCAGGTTGGTACCACTGCCAATCACACGATGTCTGGGGAAGCCACTTAGCTTCCAGGCCACATAGGTCAGAATATCCACTGAATGGAGTAAGAAAAGACATTGTATGGTATTGTAGACATCAGTATGTTACAACCAGATGAGATTTAGAATGATTTACAAATGGTTCATTTGAAGAATTAGAATTTGGTAATCAGTGGTCATTGTTGACACACCTCAGCACACAACAACAAAATGTGTCCTCTGCATTTAACCCATATGTGACAATGTGACATAGCAGGGGGCAGCTAATTCAGCGCCCGGGGAGCAGTACCTTGCTCAGGGTACCTCAGTGGTGCCTTACTGGTTGAAGATTTGAACCAGCAATCTTTCAATTATGAGTGCGCTTCCCTAACCATTAACAGACCACTGCCCACATCTGAGTATAGCTTTTGTTTTATGGTCTCTAAAAAGTGCTACTCACCAAGTGTGATCCAATGGTAACTCTGACTTTTAAACACTGGATTTTTTATATTACATAATGATATCCACCCAAATATAGAGTACAAGTGTGATAGTGTTTCTCTTAATTTTTTATTCTTTGCAAGTAAAGAAACATTTACCTACCCGGATTAGAAACTACAAGGATGATGCAGTTTGGGCTATACTTGACAATGTTGGGGATGATGAATTTGAAGATGTTGACATTGCGCTGGACCAGGTTGAGTCGGCTCTCCCCCTCCTGTTGCCGGGCACCAGCTGTCACCACCACCACCATGGAATTGGCTGTCACAGAGTAGTCTGAAATAGTGGTGGGCGATATGATGATAATTTATCATGAACAGTTGCAACTGTATCCATGGCAAGCGTTTTAAAGTTATTGTAAGAATCACAATACATCACTCATGACGACAGAACAAACCATCAAGTGCCTATCACATGATGCCTGCATATTTGGATTCTAAAACAGTAATTCTGCAAAAACAGACCAATGTGAAACAAAGTAAGGTCAGCCTGCATCACAGTGCCATCTGTATATCTCTTCACTGTCAATTATCTGTCTCAATGGAGCTAAGCATAGTGACTAAATCCTGAAAAATAAATTTAATTGATCATTTCTAACTCATTAGCTAACCCATAAAGGATAAGGAGGCATGATTCACATCAGGTGAAAAGTTTACTCATGTGGCTTTAGCCAGTCTCTACTTTGATTCAGATGTTTTGCAACTTAATTCCATCTTTTCACTCAAAGCAGTTGCAATTGTTTTTGTGTGTTGTGATTTTTCCCATGCACTTAAGTCTATAAGGCCATGCCACTCAATCTAACAGATGATTCCCTATTTATGTCCGTTCTCATATTTCCATGCACTCTTTCAGCTAGCATTCTGGAATACCCTACAGTCTAGTACTCTCTGACCTTTGTCAGCTACAATCTTGGGTGTGCGCAGAAAGAGCCCTCCATGCTGCAGATCCAGTGCCTCGCCCTTCAGCTTGTCTTCCATCACATCAACCAAGGCAATCTCATCTGCCAGCTCCTGCTCACCAAAAGGAAATGACATCATCTTTTGAGGTTTTCTTCATTTTGCAATTCTGTTATGGGGCCCAATTATCACCGTTGTTGAAACAGATTGTAAAAGTCCAGATATTGGAGGGCTGGTTGGTATATTATTAAATCAATGTTCTCCTCAGTGACTGGGGATGTTAGTTGTTTATAGGTCAGGAAATACATCTTCCGTTAATAGGACTGGGGATATCTGCAGTAAATATTCAGATACATACATTGTAATGCTGCTCATAGTTGACCCTACTGCTCCGCACCTGCTCCCCTTGCTCACCTTCAGAAGAATGCTGACGGCAGAGGCCATGCCCACCATTCCCACACCCACTACTGTCACTTTGTTCCTTGAGCCGACTGCCTCCCCTTTCATCACATGTTCAATGAGTTTCTCCTTCGTAGTGGCCATCTCCACAGTCTACATATAGTCACACAGAGAAAGCGTGAGGGTGAGGTGATACAGGACAAACGCAGATTCAAAATAGCCAGCAAACTCCAAACATTCATCCCAACCCTGGAAATGTGAGGCAAAATGCTAGCCAATGTGCCACCCTTCAAAATAACTTTATGTTAGATGGTGTTGTATGTGTGTGTTGCAAAGCCATAAACAAAGTGGAATCAATGTCTTAGGGTCTGTATGGTCAAAAGTCCATTGCCGATTTGTAATCCCAATACAGCTCTGGGTGGAGCCCAGAATTTCTAGTTATGCCCCTGAATAATCTGAATAATACTAGGTGGTTAATAGACAGTACTTTGTATTAACAAACAAAGGCAAAGTTGTCGGTTACTGTACAGTGGGAAAATACAATGTAAAAATGAGTCTTCTGTGGTTAAACCATTAGTATTAATGCTGTACACCTATAACTTGACGATGAGACATAGCCTATTGAAGCCTATTGAAGTTGACCTGAATGCTTAAAATGGCCATGGGGTCTTAGGTGCTCCATACAAGTTAAATAACTCAGCAATAACTCCAATGCAATAACGAAACCTAAGCATGAACAGGGTTTTTATACAATAAACACTTAAAGTTATGTTATTGAAGACATCACGTAAAAGTCATATTGCTGAAGATATCATGTAAAAGATCGTATTACTTCCTAAAGTGATATATAGCCTATATATATTATTTTTCGTCCCTACCTTGGGTGAATACTGCTGCACAGTTGGAATGTCTCCCGACCCTTTCGCTCCCTCAGCTGCAACTGAACTGCACAGTAAAGGGCGGAGAACCTGTGTGATATTTAAAGTCTGACAGCTAATATGATACAACTATAACGTATGTCACCGTATTGCCTCCATTGTCACCCATAGAGACTGAGTTTGAATTGAGAGGGAAGGACCCGTATCGATTGAGTACCTTCCCATTAATCAAGTCTTTTATCACTATCACTATAGTTTCCTTAAACACTTTGAAGAAATCAGTCTTTCACGTTATTCTAACTGATCAAAGACGGTGTTTGCAGAAGTACTGTAATTTCACTGTTAACTACTCTTTCGATTGACTGCGTTTAATTTTTTTTTCTACTAGCTCTGCCAGTTAACTAAGTTGTATTTTTTCTTTTTCATGTCCACCGTTGCACTGGTAATGTGTACAGCTTTTGCGGTTCAGCACGATGACAAGTTTGCTGTATTTAATAAAACAGACACACATTAATGCACGTGACATTTTATCTGCGGCGCAATGCAAACTATTGCTACACCTATAGCTATAATTTCTCCCTGTAAATATCCTTTATCAGTATCATATTTTAACTAACTGAACTCATCTGCACTGTACCTAAGCTCTTTGCACATTACATCCATGCATCCATTATCTATTTCTTTATTTATATTGTCCATAGGCTTGACTCAGCATTGCACATCTCCTGTAAAAAATCCTTGTACCTTTACCTTTAGATGTTTATTTGTATTATGTGTATTGTATAGCCTATGTATTGTTTATGTGATGATACCACCCACACCAAAAGAAATTCCTTGTACTTCTCTGTACTTGGCGAACAACAAGATTCCGATTCTGATTCTGATTCATTAAGTGACATACTGATAGTAATGTGCGCACGAATAGAAAATTATAAAATCATAACCACGCTTGGTAGTGTACGTGCCTTATAGAAATACATTTGAGAAGTCTCTGATTTACATAACTGTTAGGAAAAAGTAATGTATTATGCTATATAGTATGTAGTATTTTTTTTTATCAAAAGCAAAACATTTCATATTGAAGAAACTGAGGTAGATTATTTGGGCCAACATATTTAAACATCTAAATTATGCCTATTTTGCATAATTATAGCGATTATTATTTATTATGATGCAGCAGTTAAACCAAGTACAATTAGGCTGCCTGTCTGTCATTATACGTAAATTCTGAAATTGTCCTTTTGTGCTCCGGCAATAGTTTGCCATCTAGTGGCAATCAGTATTCAGAAATCATCGTTGCGTTTTAAAAGAAAATGAGAACTTTCACGAACTCTATGTGTCGGAAAACGCTGTATAACGTATTATAAAGGTTACAAGAACTCAAAATCATTTTGCCCAAGAAAGGTAATTTTTAAAAATGATTTCTTCAAGGCTAAATGTGGAAAAAGTAATTATTACGGAAGAGTATTTATGTTTTTGTCTGGACAAATATGAAAACCACTCCAGTTTAGACACCAGTTTACATATAAGAGACATGGCTGTTTGAAACTTTCTGTTTGAGGAATAGGCTTATATCAAGTCAATCAAATGTTAAACTGCAAACAGCAATATTCATGCACTGTGCTGTCACCATTTCCGGTTGTCTCATCAGCTTAATATGTGGTTGAGATTGCCCCTGCATATTATATTATCTTGGTTTTTGTTAGAGGCTTATACTTTTGCATATAGCTATAAAAGATCAATTAATATTCTTTTGTCTATTTGTATGCCCATGTTACCTTTTTCAAGTGAATGTGTTTTTTTTTTAGATGTTTACAATGTTACATATTTTATGTATATGTGGTGGAGTGAGGGTGACTGATTGGGTACATCCCCAATTGTTCATTTAATGGCATTCCACTTTATATTCCAGCTATAAGGATATACGGTGTATCGTTCGGGGAGCTCCACCCATCTCCGGTTTCCATGGGTAATTCTTTAGCAGTTCATACAGGTATGCCTTACATCACATTACATTTGTACCTGACACGCTCAGTTAACATTTTTGTTATGTAATGAATAATGACAATGACAGTAGTAATGCCAATAATGAATTGTCGAATGCTAGATTTTTGCGGCGAACGCTACTGCTTTGGTGAAACCTCGAAGTATTGGATTATTATTGCTGCAGACAGCCGGGGCGGAGGTGGTTTAGTTTTTCTTCCGTTTTCAGTTGCCTCGTGACACATGTAGTATTGATGTTGATGTATATTTTTCAGGATAATTGTAGTCCCAGTTAGGGTTTATTCTTGGAGTTACTGGGACTTATCGCAGCTGTTTTGTCTCTGATGTTGCTGGTGTGGATTCATCTCCTGTTTCGGACGCCTCTTCAGTTGGAGATTCCGTCGTCCACCTTTGAGAATTACCGTGCCCTCCTATAGTCTTTGTTTAGTTGCTGGATTGCACTGTACAACCGTTCGGGACTGTAATTTGATTTAGCTTCCTGTTACATCGTCTGTGGGAAAGCGATATGTCTTGTACTGGTTGTGTTTTCGTTGTTTGTGTATTGTAACCTTCTTAAATTGATCTGCGGTTTTGTCTTTTACGATGGGGAGGCTGGCGTCCTGGTGGTGGGATTTCACACTGTGCATGTGTGGTTAAGATTGCAGTGCTGTTTTGTGTGTGTGCGTGTGTGTGCTTGGACACGGATGGTTGGGTTTTGTTGATTCTGTTTTTGTACTGCTTTGTAAAAATAAACATATTTTTGTGCTGAAAGCACATCTTTGCTCCTGCTTGTTGGTGGATTGAACCAGTGTCCCTCTAGCATTAGACTAGGAGGAGAGTCATTGCACAAATGTTCCTGGCAGAAAGTCCCAGGGTGGTGTAGTCGGGTTGTTCTGGTGGTTTGTTCCTCATGTTTGCAGCTGTGCACTATCCACCACTGCTACAGTACATATACAAACTAGGGGTGGCATCGTGGTGCAGCAGTTTGCACTGGTGCCTCACAAATCTGGGATGAGGTTGAGAGTTGCTGCCTATTTGTGTGGAGTTTGCATGTTCTCACTGTGACATTGTGGGGATTTCCTCCAGTTTCCCCACACAGTCCAAAAATATAATGAGGTTGATTGGAGTTGTCCGTAGGTGAGAGTGGGTGATTGGGTAGTGCCCCATCTTGAGTTCTTCCCTGCCTTGCATCTGTAGGCGCCAGACCCCCTGCAACCCTGAATTGAACAAGCAGGTACAGAAAATGGATAGATATCCAAATGGTTGAAGTACCTGATAGTGAATATGTGGAATACTGCAGTATCTTTGTAGGGTTTACCTATTATAAACAGATTTTGTTAATTGTTGTTCAACATATTTCTGCTCCTTGTCCATCAAAGTCTCCATGCATCTCTCTGTCTGTATTCCTAAATGGTAACCTAGTCCTGTGTCACATGAAGCCTGGAGCTGATCACAGGGAGCATGGAGGACCAGACTGGGGACTTCGCTTTTCAATTTTAATATTTCTACTTTCCCCAATTAAAAATGTGATACCTGCCTAATATCTAAGAGAAACAAAAATACAAGCATATCTTCTCCCTGAAATTCTCCCAGATGCTGTAAGTGGTTTACCATTGTCCTGCTGAGTGATACACAGGTCTCATTCTTCAGTGCCGTTTTTTGCAGATGCTGGTTTTCCACCTGGCGATCTGCAGGAGCATCGGCTTGTGATCACCTCCCTGCTCCCTGGTTGTGACTCAAATCTTATGACTTAGACAATGTGACTTGGCACTTAGCCATCTCTCTGATTTGACTTTCCCTGCCGGCCCCTGGAGGATGGGCTCCCCCTTTGAGTCTGGTCCCTCCCAAGGTTTCTTCCTTCTAGGGGATTTTTCCTTGCCACTGTCACCTATGACTTACTCACTGGGGGCTTTGGGTGGGGATGCTGTAAAGTGATGTGATAGCATGCTATACAAAAATTAATTTGTTGTTGTTGTAATGAGCCACGCAATATGATGTAAAGTTTGTGTCTCACCCCAAGCGCTGAAAAATGAACTATGTGTAAGAAATTAGACAATTATAAAAAACATTCTCAAACATTGACACAAGGTGCTGGAAGCAACACTTAACTGCAGTGTCCCATGTGCATGTGTGTACGTCAGACTGCATTGTTAGATTATTAGCTCTCTGCCTGCGGAGCACATCATCTTTCTAGCATTAATCTGAAAAGCCGAGAAGCACAATGCTGATAAATTGTTCACAGCCAGCAGGATGACTCCAGTGGAGTCTGTCAAAGGTTTGCTTCCCCATCTGTTGCTCTGGTATGGAGATCAAACAGCACAAAGTGGCAGAAAATAAGGCCTTGTCTCTAATGAGGCCACATATGGCATTTGATGAAATATTCACCAGTGTGATTCGTGGGTTTACGTTTAATGCCTGCTTTTGGGATTTCCTTGTAACATTCCTCCAGTGTGATGTAACTCCAGCAAAGTGTAAAGCTGTTTACACTGAATAATTTGACATTTTACTGGGGAAATACCTCTGAAGAGAGTGGTTGGTGTTGCCTAGGCACTATCAGCTCTCACCACAATGATTTTGGGTTTCATCACTTTAGATTCTTATATGTTATTGTGAGATGATACAGTTCAAATAACTTAGTACAGTATGGGTATTATATGGGTCTTCAGGTCCATTCCATACCAAAATGTATTTCTTTTGTAATTTGTTGTTTGACTTAGAAGCAAAGTGTAAAAGAATCAAAAGTTTTTAAATATGGTATTCAGGATACACAGTGTATTTTCTTTTCATATTAAACTGAATTTGAGCAATGAGGTGAAGATCAGGCTTTTGTGTGTATCGTCATGTTTTTGCCTTACAGTGTTTACTCACATATGAAATTTTGTCAATAATCCTCTTTGGCCACTTTTTTGAAGGCATATTAGTACAATATGTATTCATTATAGGTCCATTAGTTTGAACTAGAAGACATAATGGAAACAGAAATTTAAATGAGACAGTGTTTTTTTTTCTTTTGACGGTGTCAGGTTTGGGAAACCTCCCTGAAACATAGACTGTTCATCTAATAGGTAACGCATAAAAATGCACTCCTACAGGACCCGTACCAATAACTTTCATGACCATTAACAGTGATTGCATGAGTGAAT